CTGTGTTCATGGCCAACCAAAACCCTGTGGGAAATCCTTTGAGTAGACACCTTGGTCACCAGCAAGCCCCAAAGACATGAGAGGTACCAGAGACCAGACCCGATGTCTGGGTTTCCTTATGGCCTATATACCCTCTACTCTGGTTCTAGGCTGGCCTCTGGCTAACACATTAGCCTCCAGTCTTTAGAATCAGCCACTGATTCAATAATTAAATTGGTGGCTCACGATCAACACCATCTTCCCTGTTCCTAGCTCTGCTGTTTGCCCTCATAAACACCGGTCCTATCAGCAGGCCAGCCTGCCTATGATACGTCCACTGCCCATAGCCAGGCGGGGCCTGAGATATGTGTGACTGCCCTGCAGGTGACTGCAGGACAGCTAACCAGCCTCTGCTTTCTCATCTGCACTGCATCAGTACCAAGTCCTAGATTGGACATTAAAGCCCCAGTAGACACCCCCAGTTGGCTTGCTGACCTCAATCCACTGCGACTCCAAAGCAGTGTGCTCTTGGACAGTGACCACGGTTCCCAAAGGGTGCAGTGAGGAGCAACAGCACAACCAGACCTTTGGGGGATTGAGACAGCCTTACTACTCCAGACTTTGAAAAAAAAAACAAAAACAAAACAAAAAAACCACCTAGACCTTTCTTGGGAAGAAGGCATAACCCAGGGTGCTTGCTAAGCACTGCTAGCCCAGCTCTTAGTATGCTGTTGGGTGTGGCTCTCAGTCAGCTCAGATGAGGCTGGAGGTCAGCTGCTGGGTTGTCCCAACCCCTGAGCCCCCATGTGGTGGCCCCCATTGGGCCCCACCCCTGTGGGAATGCCATAAGGCAATAGCAGTCTGGAGGCTCACAGCACGAGGGGGTCTTGCTGACCTCACGAGGCATTAAGGCACAAAAAGCCTTTTCTTTCCCAGCAGCCTGGCACCCCACTCCTCACACAGCCACCCCCGGGTCCAGGCCCAGACACTTCCAGCTGCCTGTGTGCTGGACTCTTCCCAGACAAAGCCGGACTCAGGCTGGGAGGGAGGACCAGCGTGTGGGTTCTGCCATGGAGATGAACTTTGACCCAAACTGCAAGGCTCCTACCCCTTATTTACTCTTTAAGGCTCACCCATTTTTTTTTTCTGCAGAGTTAACATTACACCCCTTTTCAACCCTGTACCTCCCTCCCACATTCCAAGCCCTGACCTTTGACCTCTCCTAATTACCAGTCCCTATACCCCAGTTCTCTGAGGCCTAGCTATGGGTTCATCCCTCACTCCTAGTGACCTAGTCCTGGGAACAAGAGCCCTACCAGGGCCTCTGCCTACAAGTGCTACCCACATCCCCAACCTGGTCAGGTCCAGTTGACACAGGGCCCAGAGCCCATTCCCAGGCTTTATATGCAACCATGGAATGGACATCTGACTTCTGACCCTGACTCTCCAACCCCAAGAAAATCCAGACATAGTAGCCCAGTCCATCCTGGTCAGCTACCAACTGCCTGGCCACTGACCAGGTAGCCCTGTCCCAAAGCCAGCCTTCCCCAGGTCACAAGAACAAAGCTTCAGGCCACACACATCCTTGACCTTCCCAGACCTGAATCACGGTGATTCTGACACCCTCATCTGACAAGCCCATGAGCAAAGACAGGAGCAAATAGACAAAAGGCCACCCCCATGGCCAGTGAAGGGCCCTGCATATGAGAGCAACCTTTTCTCTCTGGGGCAGTGGTGCTTGTACAGATGCTGACAAATACCAGCTTTCAAGCACAGCAGGGACTCCCCAGTGTCACCTGGGGCCCACCACTCACAGCACAATGAGCGGCCTCCCTGCCAGCTGCCAAGGGTCACTCACCGTCCTCTTGGCTATGGAGGTTCTGCGGGCTCCGCATCCTCTCCTCCTGGCTGGGGCTCAGGCTGGAGGCCAGGTGGGGGTCAGCTGACATCCATGTGGAGTCATTCATATCAAAATCTTCACTGCTCACAGACGTTTCATCCTGAACAGAGACAAAGAAGGAGGTGTCCAACAAGAGCAAGCGCACACCAAGTCTGGGTGGTCTTTTGGGCAGACAAGAAAGGGTCCCAGAGGGCCCAGGAAGCCCCTGAGACCTTGCAGTGAGGGCTGGATGGCATTCCCCCTGACCTTCTGAAGTGGCTTGGGCTCTGGTTTCTAGTGGAAGCCAGGTATGAGGGCCCGTGCTGTCTGTAATTGAAGACAATTAAGAGGTCTCATCCTGTGGAGCGGATAGCAGGGCCTGGCTCTTACCCTTGTGAGCCAAGGTTGAAATGAGTGCTGTAAACAAGGGCCACCATTCCCCGACCCAGAGCCTGAGGAAGAGGGCTTACTCTTCACAGTGCCTGCCCTGGGTAGCAGGACACGCTGGGCACGGAGGAGGCCAAGGTGGCAGCCCCCACCAGGCTTGCCGCCAACTCTTGTGGAGCATACATGGAATTCCTTTCTCCCACTCCCCCAGCCCAGAGGACATTTCTGTCTTCCTCCTTCCTAACCTTTGCTGTGCTTCAAAGATATGCTCTTGGGCGGCTTCCAGAGTTGAGCAGGCCAAACCCAGAAGTGTGCAGAAGGAAGGGGGTGGGAAGGGCCAGGGTTCTGATCACACCAAGAGACAGGGAAAGAGGGTGCCAGGGCCTTCCAAACAGCAGCTGGTCTGCCGGGGAGGACAGCACTGGCTCCTATCCCCTGACTGCTGGCTTCAGTGTGCCCTTGGCGAGTCATCTGGGAAGCCCCAGGGTTGGGGCCCCTTTAGTCCAGCCTTCCAGCAGGAAGGAACCCCACCTCCTTCTGATCCAGCCCCTTTCAAGAGCAGCAAGCAACTGGGTTGGGGCTCCGGCTGTGGCTGTAACACATGTGGAGTCCTGACCTTGTGCCCCAACACCTAGCAAGACACAACAGCCTCCGTGGGCCCATGGTAGAGCACCCTTGGAGCCACCCCTACAGGGCCCTCTCACAGACATCTCTTTTATGGTGAGCAAACACACTCTGGTTTGAACTTTCTTCGACTGCTGTCCCCGGGGCAGACACATCTGCTCCAAGTGCTAGGGAACCGGAGGTTGAGCCTGCCTGCCTCCCTCCCTCCCTCCCCCAGCCGTGCCTGCTGGCAGTATTTTCCTGGAATTCACAGCTTCTATGCAGCAATGTGGACCCTCCGTGCTGAGTCCAGAGGACAGGAGCTGAGCGACGGCACTGCAGGTCCAACATGTCCACACTTGGAACCCTGGGGACAGAGCCCAGTGTGTTCTCCCATACAAGTGCTGGTTACATACACTCGTTCTCTGTGCTACCTACTATACACACACACACAAGCTTCCTACAGCGACAACACACACGTGTGTCACAGCGACAGGGACATGCATGCTCTATAGGCGCTCGACACAAAAAGTACAACAGGGAAGGGTCTCTTGGAGTTGTAGAGCCGGAACACAGAGTGGAAGACACAGAGCAGGACAGAGCAGAGCGAGGACTCTCCTGTTCCCCTGCTGGCCCCATGGATGGGCTCTGGGAGGCAGAAGCAGGGACTCTTCCCTGGGCCTCTCACAGGCAGGAGAACTCAGAAGCACTGTGGTGAATGTGACTGTTTCCTAGTATTGTTTTTAAAAAAAAAACCAAAAAAAAAAAAAAAAACCTTTTGAAACAGGAGCTACTTGAGCCGGCCAGGTGGCAGCACAGAAGCAGGAGGATCTCTAAGTTCGAGGCTAGCCTAGTCTATAGAGCTGAGTTCTCTGACAGTTACGGCTACACAGACAAAACTTGTCTCAAAACAAAACAAAGAAAAGAAAGAGGAGCTACCTGTGTAGCCTAGATTGGCCTCCAGTTTGCAGTCCTCCTGCCTCGGCCTCCAGAGTACTACAGTCATTATTCGCACCCACCCATTCACTCCCGTGTTCCCTGGACACCAACCGTGCACCTAGGGTCTTGCTAAGTGCTGGGAATGCAGCTGTGGAGCAGAGCCTGCTCCTGCCCTTCCAGCCCCTCCCCACCCACGGAGCAGACATCACTTGTTGCCCGTGCTCCACAGCTCCTCTTGTAAACAACCTGCCTGTCTGTGCCAACAGCACAAAACTGCTATGGGGGTCTGTCCTGTCACCCAAGAAGGCTCTTGGTCCTTCCAGTAGTAGGGACCAGACTGCCTGTTCTCTCAATTCCTCATGAGGTAGCAAGACTTGTTGAACTGACTAAACTGCCTGGCAGGATGTGGTGTTTTAATGAGGATACTGCATTAATCTGACAATTAAGGGCTCTGGTCCCACTGCGCAGTTCTTGAACAGGGGCCATATGAAAACTGGGACCCTGGCTGGCGGACCAGAGGCTGCATGCTTCCCTTAGTTCCAGCTGCTAGCCATCCCACAAATGGCATAGGGCTGCTCTGGCTTAGACAGCTGAACTGTTCAGGAAAATGGACTCTACCGCACCCTGCCCAGTAGATGGACTGCGTTTCAGACTGACACAGAAATTATCTGGAAAGAAAAAGCATCCAGCACCTCATGCTCCAGACTCCCAGGCTCTGGGAGGAGGGTTTCCGGCTCTCCAGGTCTAGTCACACTGCATCTCACAGACTTGCCCCAACTGTCCAGGGCAACAGAACTAGGGGCAGAGCTGGGGTCTAAATCCAGTCAGTATGCACACAGAGCCGTGAAATGACACTTTCCACCCTTTGATCAAAAGTGCCTCAAAGACCCAAAGGTGGTGGGACACGGTGTGCGCACGGGCGGGCACACACACACACACACACACACACACACACACACACACACACACACACGCGCGCGCGCGCGCGCGCGCAAAGTTTGATGCACATTATTGAACATCTACGTTGTGCAGAGTTGCCCTAGGGCTAAGGAGGGGCTCCTACTCTCAGACTCTATGTAGGGAGAGAAATCAGCTAAAACTTCTGGCCCATTTACAAGTGTGGGAAAGGGCTCTGAGGCCCCCTGAACACCACTGGCTCTCTCCCCCCCAGGGACTTTTCCATAGCCCCCAGGTTTCTGCCATTCTAACTGCCACTTTGTGGAAAGGTGGTTCTCGGAGTTTTGAAAACCCAAACGCTGACTGCTATGGCGTAAAAAAAAAAAAAAAAAAAAAAAAAAAAAGATAAATCAAGCCTATTAAACCTAAACTTTTCAGAAAACAACCAGAACTGAGTAAGATGTAGCTGTGTATGTGCCAGACTGACACAACCACCTCCCACATCTACACTTGCAGGACTGACCTGGAGAGAGCCGTCTGTAAGCCCTGCTACACAGACTGGGCTGTCACCGGGGCCAGGCCAGCCACTACAGAGGAGCAGACTCAAACTCTCCTCACCGATTCACCCCTGAGCCGAGGCTGGTAAGGCAGGCTAATTACACAGGCAATTACCAGAGCACACAGTTCAGACCCATCACCCAAGTCCAGAGGGACCTGTGGGGGGAGGGAGGGAGGAAGAAAGGGAGGCAACCAACCCAGGTCGGGAGATGCCTGAAGCCTGAGGCCTGTCTTAAGACCCCAGGCACTCCCCTGCTCCCCCATGAGGTCACAAGTAGGTCACTTCTTCTTGCTCCTTTCTTAAATATCAGAATATGGGCCACTAATTTCTCCCTTTGTTGAATAACTTCACTGGGATGCTCATTTGAAGTTAAAAGTATGCATACCATGCTTCTAAAATCCCTTTCCTGAGATTCTGTGATCGACCAGGTAGCTGTGGCTAGGTTCCCCTAGCCTAGCCTTTGCCCTTTACACCCTGAAGCCTGTGGCCTTGCCCACCTGGCAATAAAAGTTCATCAGACCATGCACCACGGAGCTTGTGCCATCATGGGCCAACTAACTAACCTTCTGAAAAGGGATACTCTTGTGTTGGCCTGGCAGGGTGAGTAGCACCCAGTCAGTCTTTAGGACACACCCCCAACCTGGGAGTCTTCACTCTGGGCTGGGGCTGGGGTTGGGAGCTGACCAAACCCTTGAGTCTCTTATCTTCAGTCCAAAATTCAGGACCCAGTTCCATTTCTCCCCACCCAGCTAGCCCAGGCCCTTCCCCCTCTGCAGACCTCTGCAGCACCAACCACTGTGCAGCCCAGAGGAGGGGAATTCAGGAGACATATGGAGGAAAGTGGAAGCAGGCCTGTATCCATGGCTATAACTATGGGCAGGTGCTATCAGTAACCTGATTATTTTACAACTGGGGTCAACTTCTCTGGAACTGGGTTCCTGGTGCCTCTGAAGCTGAGCCATTTGCATCTTCCAGGACTCGGAATTCTGGGGCGTGCCTGCTACAGTATTTTCCAGGCCTTTCCTCAGAGCTGTAACTCTATCTCAACCACTCACTTGAGAAAGAAAGGGAGGAGGATTTACCGAGAATTCAGTGCTAGCGAGGCCATAAGGCCTGATCTGGAGCCCTGGGTGTGGGTTTCAGACCGTGGTGGGGGTGGGGATGTTCAAGGATGCTCCTAGGTCAGGCAGGAAACAGACACTCCCGGCTGGCTGCCCTTCCCCCCACCTCCACCCCCCCCCCATTGCCCCCAGGTTTTTGGGCAACTGGAAAGATCACCAGGGTGTGCTGTTGCTCCAGGCCCAGCTCTCAACCTAGCATGTATCCTAGGATGTGGTTGGTGGCTTCTTAGTCCAGTGTTGGGCCCTGGCTTCTGGGTCACCTGTGAGTGAGCCCAGCCAGGTCAGAGAATGCTCAGCCCCTGAGCTGCTTGGGGCGAGCATTATGCACATCACTCAGAATATGCCAAGAAAGTGCTAGACCACATCTGACCCCAGCTTAACTACTTTAGCTCATCAGGCACTTACTAATGGAAACTGAAAAACTCTCAGGATCCAAAGCAAGCAAAGGTTCAGGCCCCTGTTGTGATGGTGTTACATGAAAGAAACAGGAGGGAGATCTGAGTCGGTTCCTGGACACTTGGGGCTTCCAACGCTGTTGTTGAATGCTGTACCCCATCAATGCCCTCCTGGCCACCAGAAGAGCTGGTGAGTCTTTCTGAGACAGAGCACACACAA